TGCAATTCTCCTTCTCCCTCTCCTTCCCTCCCGCCTCTCTTCCATATCTAGAGGTAATTTTCTTCTCATGCTCTTCCTGAAGATGGACTTCATTTTAAAAAATGACCTGAGCTGGCACTGAGGAGGACATCTTCCCCACTGCCCCTGAATGGCAGAAGAAGATGGGTGCAGTCAGGTAGGTATATTGGTTGGGTGAGAGAAAGAATAAGGATTTCCTATTCTACAACTTCTGGGTTTTTTGTTTGTTCATTTGTTTTTTTGTGAAGGATGAGGCAAAATCATCATAAAGTACTTGGGTCACATGAAATACAATAAAAATAAAGTAACTAAGAATACAAAAATAAGCTTGGAGAAGTATAGTAGGATTGCAGTGTGTCAATGAATATCTATTAGGGAATGATGCTTATATTGTTTATGAATTTAAAGTGACACTAATAACATCAATTTCCCCAGTTGTATGCTTTTTCTTAGTAATTTTCATTATTATGTTGTGATTAGAAATTCAAATTATGTATTAAATGTACATATCAAAACAATGGAAATTTATGTTTAAGTAGATACAAATTATCAATTTTTCTTTCACTAGCTCTTATTTAGCACCTGCTATTCAGGCACTAAAGATTCAAATATAGAAGCCATGCTCCCTGCTGTGAGGAACCCACAGTGCAGCAGTTCACAAGTGTTGTCTGAATAAATCCACTCTTGTCAGCATAGAAGAGCATCTGATCTGGGTCCTGTAAACATAGGCTGATTTTGTGTATGTGAGCTAGAAAAATTCATAAAAACTCTATGATATTTATTTGGATCACCACCCAAAGGAGTATTATCTGATACTTCATCAATCATAGATTATACAAGCTAGAATTTCTGATGTTCTACTCTCTTTCCTGCATATAAATATTAGATATATTCATCTATAGTTATTGTCAAAACAATCTGATACCTTGTATCCTACATTAAGTCAAAATCCCCAGTGGTAAACTGTATGTGTCTTGCAAATTTAAATTCTAATCCTGTATTTCCATGTGTATGTTTTATCTCAACATATACATGATATTGTGCCAGGTATTTAACACACATTATCGTATTCAAGCATCACACACAAAGAATGGATTCATTATTACCTTTTCTTTTCAGATGAAGATTGAATCTAAGTAAATAAATGGATGGAGACCATGGTTTGTAGCTGATGAAACTAAATGAGGCCACCTTAGTAAGTGCTCATTCTATTTTTGATAAATACTTTTAGGAATTATATTAAAAGTTTAAATGTTGCAACCTGTATTAATATCCCACCACCACCATCACCAGGTGCCAACACAGAGCATTCTTGTTAAATCTTTGAATATTTCCAATAAGAAAAACAAACAACAAAATTTCTTTTTTCACCAGTCATCTGCAAATAAACTTCCACTTCACTCTTTGTTCTCACCAGAATGAACTTATTGAGGGTTTGCCTTCAGAATTTCTGAGGGCAAATCATACATTAATCCTTGATTTATCCCCATCTTCAAATTCAGTTTCTGTCAGAGATGGAGTTCAAAAATGTTGTTTTGTTATGCCAGATTCGTAGGACCCCAGTAGACCTCCAGGAGCCAAATCCTATGCAATCACACAAGAGTCTTTATTGCAAGCTGGAGCCTGGACTCACAACTGTTCCTGACGCAGCAGTCCCAGGGAGTGAGTCCTGGTCCTTTGTTCAGTGAGATTTTATAGGTTTTGGGGGGATACTCTGTGCGTCACAACATCACACAGCAAATCATTCCATACTGAATCATTCCAAATCACGGGAAAATCAAAAAACGACTCTTAACTTTGATTAGCACATCCACTGGCGCGAACAAGTTGGGTAGGGATGATTGGCTAGTACAAGAGGGTGGTTCTTTTGAACTGATTGGTTTAGGCCACGAGGGGTGTACATGCTGAACTACATGGTTTCCCAACATGTTATCGTTATCACTGTTGATCGGTGACGAGTCCTTGCTTCCCCAAAGTTGAAGAATAACACCAGAGAAGGATGCCGAGGCAAGGTCAGAGTAGAAATTAGAAGTTTATTAAAGGACAGCAGAAAAAGACTTCTCCCGGAGGAAGAAGGGGACCCAAGACGTGGAATCCGTGGAAGTGCACTTGTCTCCCCTTTTTATAGGTTTGGTGATGGAATGCAAGGGGGAAGGGTTAGGACACAGGTGGGCCAAATGGGCAGGAAGGACTTAATTATCACTTTTTGGGATGGGCTTATCACTTTTCTGGGATGGGCTATCTCCAAATCTGTTGGGGGCTGTTTCCTGGGTTCCATTAACATTTCTTTGGGGTGGACTTTGGCCTAGGGCCTTTCTGGGACTTCATTAACATTCCATGAGTTGTCCTGCGTTTCCCGGAATCATTCTCAGCATGGCCTCCATTTTAGATTTCACTCGGTATTAGACACGATTTACCTAACTACACTGACTACCTAACTTTAAATCTGGCTTCAGCTACACCACCAGTGCTTAGCTCTTATCCCACAGTAATGAAAGAATGAGAGAGTGGGAGAGCAAGGGAAGACACACCTAGGATCACATCCCGAATCTCCTAATTACTAGTTCTGTGTGTAAGTAACTTCTATGTAACTCGCTTTAAAATTTTATTTTTCTCCAAGAGTTGATGAGATATTTAAATGAAAAAATATTTATTGTTAGGTCAGTGGTGGCGACTTGGTGGTGACTTAGTGGTGACTAGGAACAAAGCAGCCCTCACGGGGGAAAGAACATCAATCAGATGCCGGCGGAAACGCCTGTCAATCAGCCAGATCTCCTGACTAATGCCTGTCAATCAGCAAGACCCTCTGGCCAATCCTGGAGTTCAGCCAACTCCCCTGACCAACTCCAAGGGAGCAAGGGACTCTAAAAACACCTTTTCCTGTCCCAAGCCCTTCCCTTCCTGCTGTAAACCCCATAAAAGTCCAGTCAGGTTGAGCTTCCACGTGGTTTCTCCTCAGACCCTTCCCCTGTACCCTCTGTGGGTCTGATTGAGTTCCGCCTGGGAGTGATATCTCAATAAAGCCTGTTCAGCGGTCCTTTTAAATCTGCCTCCTTTGGTCACTGCCTGCCTCGCCTGATCTGACATTTATGTGTCTTATGAAAAAGTTTGGAAGTTGGTCTATTATGCCGAAAATGTTGAATAACTAGTAGCTATCGTTATTGTGATATCTTCAGACTATGATCTCTTTGAAGCCAGGAGTAATGTCAATTTTTATATCCCTGATGATAAGTCTGAGTCCAACTTTGAGTAGTGAATCAAGGAAGAAATTAATACAAATGATAGCATTTTACTTTTTGTCTTTTATTTTTCAAAGTCCACTGATCTTTAGAGAGCTAGTTGTACATAAGCAGATTTTTCTAGTAACTTATTAATATCATAGAAAAAACTCTGTAAGAACTATGGTTAAGCAATTACAAGGTACACAATTATATTTTTTTAGTTCATATACATTTATTAAACTGATTGTTTTTTCACTGGACCACTTGTCTAAATGACAGTCCACATATTCACTCTCATTATAAACTAATTAGAAAAGGTAATATTCAAATTAATAAATATTCTCTATGTAAAATGTATTCTTATGATAAAATAGTTATAATAGCTATTGACAACTTTGGAAAGAAAACAAAGAAGTTAGTGGCAAGGCCTAATAAAAAATCTGATGGATTAAACTAAAAAAATTGACAAGCACAATTCCCCTCAAAAGAACAATTTGTTATTGATGATGAAATTGAGAAATAACCAGAAAGAACGTTGTGAAATTCATAGTGAAAACCCGTAGGGTAAAATTAATTTCTTTATAACACAGTTTAAAGGCAAACAAAAGGAAATTGCTTGTGCCAGATGGGATAGGGAAGGCACTGTGAATAAAAATGAGCATCTCTTTTCTGCTTACAAATATTTGAATTAAGATGATACCAGCATGTCTGGTTAATGGAAAAACAGTATTGATGGTTGCACCACTTTTAAAGATTTTCTCATTCTTTTTAAATGGACTTTGTCAACACAACAAAGTACTTTAAGCAATATATTAAACTTGGCACTATCACAGCATATTTTATTCTGCTTGAATTATTGTGTCAGGCAAAACAGGAAGAATACAATGTATACAGGCTGGGCTTAGAATCAGAGAACCATTATGTGATTCTGCCTCTGGCCATGGTGTGGCTAGGCAAATCATCAAGTCCCTAAGGGACAGTTTCTTCATTAATAAAATGAGATCAGGAATACCTGCCCTTCCATCAGCTAAGTTCTGTAAGGATTCAATGAGATAATGAAGGGGAACATTTCTTGTAAACCATAAAGCATAAACTTTGATTTTGTGGTTTATTTTTTTCTATAAATTATCTCCAATTTTGTCTTGTATTTTATCTGAACTGTTGGTTCACAGCTGCTGGCTTTCTTCTTATAATATTAGGCATTTTATGTGTAGTATTTCAAACCCAATCATTGAAAATACAGCTGATGGTGATCTCTTTTTGCCCCAAGCACCTATAATAGTTATTTAGCACTTATCATGCCACTATTTATCTTTATATGTATATGTTGTTTCCACTTATCTATAACATAAATACTTGAATATTAACACTGATATCAACACTATTACTAGTAATAGCTAACATTTTTTTTTTTCTTAATGCCAGGCACTGTGTTCAGCATTCTAAATGGATGATCAAATTTAATAAGTAGAAAATGCATCATATATTTCTGTAGGGTCACATCATGCATCTGTTGTATAACATGTATTACCATTTCACACACAGCAGTTCCCACTATCCAAAGAATGAGAGACTAAAAGATAGAAATATGAATTTATATAGTGTAAACATTTATCCTACTATTTTGTTCAATGAACTTATGCCCCAGAGTAAGAATGAGATGGGAAAGGTGAATCTGCTCTGATGGAGTCAGTTCCCATTTATCCCCCAAAGTGAGAGCATCTAGCTGTGGAAAATATAACGCCTGAAGACAGATAATTTCAGTACAATATGGACTGTGAATGTAGGCTACATCTGTTATTAAACCAAAGAAGCAGTTTTGATGTTGGAAGGAAAACTGGATGCATTAGATTTCTTAAGAGAGTGTGACAGTCTTTAATACGAAAAATATCAAGAGACTTTCATGGATAATTTGACTCTATGCAGTTTTTGCCATACATATTGAGTTATCAATGAAGTGAGAAGTAAGGGAATCAGCTGAAAATGAGAAGGATAAAGGGGTTTTGAAAGTTTGAGCAGAAAGGGAAATGTATGAAATGTTAGTGGTGTAATACAATAGAAAAGTGAACACCAAACTTATAGACTGCTTTTCTATATCAGTATCCCTTTGACCACTAACATAGAAAACAGATTATAATCCAAAACTGTAGGCCTGCTTTTATTTGTGTATTTGTTCATCAGTGTAGGCTGTTGTCAGTATGTGTAGATATGGCCACACCAATTGTTTAAGTTTGAGCAGAGAGGGGATGTGTGAGGTGGTTAGTAATATGGTAAAGTAGAAAAAGAATCAGAATATAGATTTGTCTACCAATAGTACAAATCTGTTCTCCACTTGTGACTGAATTTAAGGTGTGACAGATTAGCATGACAATACTTTTTCTCCCAATATGCTTAGTTGCCTAACATATAGGAAGTCGGTAGAAGTTTGTGATTAATAGGGGTTACAGTTTTATTATGTAAGTTCTTCCAGAAGAAAGGAAGGGGAAAGGAGGCAAGATAATATGCAAAGGGATCAATTTAGTGCTGGCCTTCGGAATGAAATCTCACTTGGCAAGAGGAAAGCTGGGACATGTGTTGGGAGAATGAACATTGAAACAATGATAAGTAAGGCCAATGTATTAGAAGCCTTGATGTGATTAGTTGATTTTGGAGAAGAGATACAAGAAGGAATTTTCTAAAAAGTCAGTGAGTATTTTTCCTAGAAAAGGATGCTAGAAAAAACATTAGCGTTTATGGTCCAATAATTGATGATGACAAGCTATAGGGTGTGACCATGGAAATGGATGGTTGAAGTTGGATAGATGAGAGAGGTCCAGTTATGATTGCATTATGACTTGCCTCTGCCCATCCATCCAGAGATAAACTTTGGTGAATCAAAAACCAGTTTTTCCACACATTGTATGTTAGTAATCTGAGTAAAAATTTCATATTAACCACTAAACTACAAATTAATACTTTGCTCTTCACCAATCCTGTCTACACTGTGGATAGTATCTCTTTGTCTGCTGGCATATAAAACAAATTATAACCCAAATCTGCAGGTCTGATTCTCTTTGTTATCTTCAATCAACACTAAACACCAATATTCAGTTGGCATGTATAGTTCTGACTATACTAATTATTAAAGTAATTAAATACTTTCATAAATTTGGTAGATGTTATTTCAAGCTCCTCTATGCCCATT